GCAGGGACACAAACATGTTTCCTCACCTGTCAGATCATTCTGAATTTTCCAGTTCAGCACAACATTCATTTATCAGGAGCCACCGACACAAACGTCCTTCCTCCCAAAACAGGGAATACGGCTCAGAGCCAGACATATTAATGTACATTTAAAACACGGCACAAAACGCGTTGAGCGATGAGTGGTGTCGAGTTAGTTCTTCCCCCCCTGGTTTTTCTGGGGCCGACTTTTAAAGCTGCTCCACCTTTCTCCAAAAGCCAAAGGCATTCAAAGCAACATCCCTTCAGGATCCAGGCAAGTCTTCAGAGCCCCATCTTCAGAGCAGGAGGTTATCCAGGAAGCAGCTGAAGAAGAGGCTGAAGGAGAAGAAGACAGGAGGAGGAGACCCTGAGTGCTGAGAGAAGAGAAGAGAGTGAGAGGAGCTGGACCTCCAACCATAGGATCCAGTGCATTTCAGGACATCCCAGCGGGAAGCACCCCGTTCAAGTTGGGCAGCAACAGCAGCAGCCCGCAAGTAAATTCCAGGCTTTCCTAAGGCGTCGGGAGGATGCCGAGATCAGCAGCTGCGAGCGGGGCCGAAAACCCTGAGTCCCCAGGCCCTCGTTTCCTCGGGAGGCTCCAGGCGGACGGGCGGGTTTCACAATCCGCGACGGGTCCCGCCCTGAGGTAGAAGAGAGGCCCCACGAGGGCCCTCCATTTCCCGGCAAGAGGAACCCTTCGCCTCCCGTTCGGCAAGCAACGGACGGATCGAGCGGAGGGGGAACTAAACGGACGAAGGGGGAAAGCGAGGCCAAATCCTCTCAGGGGCCCCTCGGCAGACCCGCCGTTCCCTATTGACGGGGTCCCGCAACACCGGGCTGGGCGGCCCCGCAACGCCTCCGGGCCTCCAAACCCCGGGATTTACTGTTAGGAGTCCCGCAGGAGAGGGCAACAACAAATACTTCCTTTTGTTGCTAGGAAACAGGAAATGTGCACCCGTTCAAAGCGTTCCCCCTGCCTGATTGGACGGGGACAGACTTCCGGTGGCGCCTTTTCTCTATGGTAGCCACAGCGTCCTTTTACAAAAACAATCCTCCCCACTCCTCATTACCCGCCCCAATATCATATCATATATATTTATATAAATTTAAACGCGTATTTCGGGTAAGCATGTACAAATCTCCCGTTATGCTTTCGGGAGGCCTAGGAGGAAAACTTTCGCGGGGTGAGTGGGGTGGGCGGAGTGGTTGGCGGGTAGAACCGTTTCGTTAGAACGGAAGTGCCAAAACGAGTATGAAGCGTTCTAAGCGTCTCTATCTCCAGGTGGACCGGCCGCTCTATTGTCCCGTTTCCGGTCTGAGATGGAACGGGTTGTCCGATTTCCCAACGGTGTGTTAGCGATTCCGCGATAGAGATTCCAAAGGGTAGAGCGGCGCTGAAAAATCTGACATTAAAGAGAATATTGAACAATAGAAGCGCGCGTCAAACGTTCTCAGAAGTTCCGTTTGCATCTTTGATTTTTTATTTTTTTTAAAAAAAACAATCGCCTCTTCTGAAGGATCACAAAACATAAGGCTAGAAACCCTGGAACTGTCTATGGAGATTCATTCATCCTGGTCATGGTTGTTCCAAAAGTGCTTTTTTCAAGAGGCATCTGGACTTTCTGTTTTTTCTTTGAAGACGTTTCGCTTCTCATCACTCCCCACCCCACCTTACAGTCAGAGCTGAAGAAGCCTCTTGGATGAGAAGCAAATAAAAACCTGAAAGTCCAGTTGCCTCTTGAAAAAAAATCATCTTTGAGACTTGGACTGTAGTGTAGTCTTTACTGTCATTGTACATCATGTATACAACGAATACAGAATGGACTATAAAGCATCTCTATTGTGCTTTATAATCACATTTTCTCTCTCCTTAGCCAAAGGAGAGCCTTGACCTCAGAGCGGCTCCTGAACAAAATGTATCCCAGGAAATCCCCCCACCCTCCAGGTGCCATTCACTTCTTGTTGCAATGAAAAGGAACAGCAGCAACAGAAACAAAGCAAATCTCGTGAAAGCAGCTGGTTTTATTGCAGGCGAAGAGATCCAGTGTCTTTCTTCTCTAGCCTGTTAGAATTAGCTCCAATCCTCATTCATGTCTGGGGATTTCTTCCCGTGCCACACATTTTGCAAATAGGTTTAGCAAGTTTAACATTTGGGGATGAAAGACCACGCCGGAACGAAAAGGAAATCCAGGGGGGGGGGATCACCCTGTGAAGATGTCAGTGGAGATTCTCAGTCACCCAGGTCATAGTTGTCTCAAAGGTGTTCCCCCCCCCCGCAAAAAAAGGCAACTGGACTGTTGTTTTTTCCTTTGAGGAGGAAGAGGAGAAAAGAAGAATAAGGAGGGGAAGAGGAAGGAGAAGGGGAAGAGGAGGAGGAAGAAGAAGAGGGGGAGAAGGGGAAGAGGAAGGAGAAGAGGAAAAAGAAGAGGCGAAGAGGAAGGAGAATGAGAAGAGGAAGAAGAGGGGGAGGAAGGGAAGAGAAAGGAGGATGAGAAGAGGGGGAGGAGAGGAAGAGAAAGGAGAATGAGAAGAGGAATAAGAAGGGGAGGAGGGGAAGAAGAAGAGGAAAAAGAGGACGGGAAGAGGGAGAATGAGAAGAGGAAGAGGGGGAGAAGAGGGCAGGGGGAAGTAGTAGTTTCGTTTCTCATCCAAGAAACTTCATCGGTTGATCAATCGATTCACCAACGGATGAAGTTTCTTGGATGAGAAACGTTTTCTTCATCTTCTTCCTTAAAGAAAAAAACAACCATAATTCCCTATTGCCGGAAGTGCCCGGTTCTCCTCCATGAAGCTGAGAAACACTTCGGCCTGCCACGAAGCACCTCTTGGAAGCGGGGGGGCTCCTACAGCTTCCTTATTTCCTTTCATTACCCAAACTAGGCAATACGATCAGCGCTAACCTCTTGGACGCCCCCCACCACCAAAAAAAATCTGGTGCATCCTCCAAACGGTTCCCCCGCAGCGGCTTCGCCACACTTCCGCTTGGTGCAACGCCTGGGCTCTTCCTCTGACTGCCCCGCCCCACTCCACACCGCCTCTCCTTACCCCTTTCGTATCCCCCCCATCCCCCCCCCTGCAATCCCCATCCTTTTCTAATCCAACGAGGCGAGCCTCGAGACCCCCTCCCTCCGTCTCTAAGACGGTTGCTGCCTTTGCAGCCGGGGCGGGGAGGGGAGGAGGAAGAGGGAGGGGATCATCCCTGCAGTTCCAGCTCATCGCTGCTGGACTCCCACCCACCCAGCCACCCACACTCCGGTCGCCCCGCCCTGCGCCTCCATTTCCTCTCCTTTCTCCGCGGTCCTAGCGCTCGGCCACATGGAGCCGCAGAGAAAGGGGAGAGCCCCCAGACAAAGGAGCCAGCAGGTAAGGCTGGGGGGGGGGGGCACACACACACGAGGGACAGGGCGAAAGCGGGACCCGCCGCCGCCGCCGCCGCCGCTGGGGATGGCCTTTGCTCTGCTTCTCCTTCTCCCCTCCCGCTGGAAGGGACTGAGCGCCTCGGGGCTGCTCCCGATGCAGAGCCCCGATGCGCCCTCTCCCCAGCCTGGCAGCAGGTCGCTTGTCCCCCGGTCCTAAAAAAAGGCATTCTGCCGTCCGGACAGGCGAACAGCCGCTTTGCTTTGGATGCAAAGAGCGGCTGCCGCTGTCGCTGCTGCTGGCATCGCCGCCTTGGCTGGGAGGAGGAGGCGGAGGCGGCGGCGGAGAGCCCAGCGGGTGAGGGCGGCTGGCCTCCCGTCTCCCGTCGGGGGTCCCTCGGTCCTAGAGACAGCCATTTTATTTATTTATTTATTTGATTTGATTTGTCCATCGTTTACAAGACACAAGAATAAGCATGAGCATGAATTAAATGGGGACGAATAAATGGGGACGGTAGGATAGGGATGGTCCGCTTATACGCGCACCCCCTTTACGGACCTCTTAGGAATGGGGTGAGGTCCACAGTGGACAGTCCTAAGGTTGAAGTTTTGGGGGTTTGAAAATGTAACAACACAGGTAGAGCATTCCAAGCATTGACCACTGGGACCATTTTGCAGAAAGGGGGCTCCCGGCCGGCCGGCAGGAAAGCTTTGCCCCTTTGGCTGGCCGATTGAGCATCTCTCTCTCAATGCCGCAGTTGCGGGCGCGGTTGGCGGGCATCGGCTCCGGAGGGGGCTGTTGGCTGGATCCTGGCCGCGGAAGCCACCGAGATCTGCCACCCGAGCTAGATAAATCGTTAGTTACCCAAAAGAGTTTGTGTATGGGTTTTTTCTTTTCTTTTTGCAAACAGCCTCGCTTTCCGCGTTGGATTGCAGATCTGACGAGTGCCAGACGTTGTTGTCCCTGCGGGATGATGGGAATGAGAGCATTTGAATAGCAATCACACTTAGACTTATATACCACTTCATAGGGTTTTTACAGCCCTTTCTAAGGGGCTTACAGAGTCAGCCTACAAACCCTCATGTTACCCACTTCGGAAGGATGGAAGGCTGAGTCAACCTTAAGCCTGGTGAGATTCGAACTGCAGCTAGAAGTCAGCTAAAGTAGCCTGCAGTACTACACTCTAACCACTGGGCCCCCTGGGCTCATTGAACCAATGGTTAGGCAGTTCTAAAGACGCAGGCACAAATGACCTGCGAGTGTTCCACACCCTCCTTTCCTTTGTCCTTTCTGTTCAAAGAAAAAAAATGGGTGTGTGTGTGTTTGTTTCTCCTAATCCTTGATAAAAGACACCGCACACGGAGTCTTCTCCTGCGGATGGTTTTAACAGTAGACCTCTGCCATCCAATCACTGGAGTAGGATCATCTGGGGATGCCCAGCCCATCCTATCTCCCTTTGCCACAGAATGAACGGGAACAGGATCTTCTTCGGAGTGGCACCCTTAGCATGGAACAGTTCTCCCAAAGGAAGCTATGGCTGACCACCCTTGCTTTGCCCTTAAACCAGTTTTTTTTTCCAGCCTCGAGCTTTTTAAGATAACCCCCAGAATATCCCAGCCACCCATGTCCCAAAAGTGCTCCCCCCCCCCTCAGAAAAAGGAACTTTGGACTTTGTTTTTTTTCCCTTGAAGATGTTTGGCTTCTCATCCAAGAAGCTTCTTCGGCTCTGACCAAATAGGGAAAGAATATAAATCCTTCCATCCTCCAATGTTGAGTCAGAGCGGATGAAGCTTCTTGGATGAGAAGCAAAACAGCTCCAAGGAAAAACCAAAGTCCAAAGTTCCCTTTTGGGGGAAAAAAAACAATTTTGGGACAATCATGATCATCTGGATGACTGAGAATCTCCATAGACATCTATCGAGCTATGCTGAAGGGGAATTCTGGAAGTTGAATTTCACATATCTTTAAAAAATCCTCAAGATTTAGAAACTTTGCTTTAGAGATAATAATAAAAGGCTGCCCCAGGACTGAATTGTCTTTCTAATGGCTCTTTTAAAAATTGTTTTAAGAACTGTTGGTCTACTTGGGGTATTTTTATTTAATTGAGCTTTTACAATTTCTACACGAAGTGCTCTGAGCTTCTCTGATAGAAATGAAGGTATAGAAGGCAGGCAGATAGATTAGATTAGATTAGATTAGATAGATAGATAGATAGATAGATAGATAGATAGATAGATAGATAGATATGGATAGAGATTATTGATTGAGAGGTAGGTAGGTAGGTAGAGAGAGAGAGAGAGATGATAGATAGATAGATAGATAGATAGATAGATAGATAGATAGATAGATAGATAGATAGATAGATATGGATAGAGATGATGGATGGATGGATAGATAGATATGGATAGAGATGATTGATTGAGAGGTAGGTAGGTAGAGAGAGAGAGAGAGATGATAGATAGAGAGAGATGATAGATAGATAGATAGATAGA